TTGGTGTAAATTTCTCGTTTCCTGCATTATGATCCTTATACTTGGTTTGCGAAATATTTTAACCAAAAACAGTGTGCAGTCTGCCATCTTGGCATTATAATTGACCTAATTAACTTGATGACGTCACAAGCAGGGTAAACTCGTTAAAACTTCTTCATGTGGGATAGGCAGTTTGCGGTTTTCCGATTTTGTTCACTTTCATTTAGCATGTCTTGGAACTGAAATATTTTTACGGGAACTAACACGTTCAAGAACGCTGAGTTCAAATCCGAAAAGTTCCCGCGCCGTAGACCCGCAGTTTTCTCACAAACTGCTATTTTCACAACAAGTTTTTTCATTGTTCAACGACACGGTATTTAAAAAATATCGATATTCCATTTTTCGCACATCGAAAATATCGAAACTTCTGAACAAGACAACTTAATCTCCTTTTTTCGGCAATTATTGTCCGGTAAAGTTTAGAAAACACGTGCACATGTATGATGGCAATTGCGAATTCAAGTAGCAAGTGCGTGAGCAATGTAAAAGTGTAAACAGAGTGAGTGTGTATTACTTTTTGTTTGTGGAAACACCTTCACACGCCCCTTTTTATCACAGATTAAGTTTTTACCAGATGTGTAACTTAATAGGACTTCGTGTCCTCAAATTTACCTATAGATGTACACAGTACACGTCATGCACTCATGCTGACGCCATGACACTGGCTATCAAAATGGCGTCCTGAAAAACACAAACTTTTGCATTTTATTGCGGCTTTTTTGGATCGACATTTATGGATTAAACAACCAAGAGCATCATTTGTTGAATGTTTAAAGTTGCTCAAAGCAATTAAAGTTGTGGAAAAGGTGTTGAAAGCATTTTTGAAAGCAATGACGTATTACTAAATGACGAATAATCACGCGAACGACACTTGCTAGGAAGATGGCGACTATGCATGGGACAACTTTTTTACTGAAGTTACACATCTGTCCCTACTTAATCTTTGTTTTTATATACCAAAAGTGTCGTGATCTGATGGCTCGCGTTATTTGAAAGTTAACTAAACTGTTACATTAAGGTTTCGCAAGTTATTTCTTTCATTGTCAGATGTAGTGAAATGAGATATCGCGGCTGCTAGCTCATAGTCTCCTTAGAGGCAGATCACCTCTATATATGTAGCATAGTCTGGGTAATTCCAACAGGATTTCTAGCCTAAATCCTGATGAAAGCTAACTGGCAAAGGAGAAGATCAACTGCAATTCTACTTATTGCATGTACATGCTGTGTAGGGAATTGACCCATTCCAGGGCCGCAAATTACGGTCGGACATCGGACAATGTCCGACTAAATTTGGCAAATGTCCGAGCAAAAGTAATTTTGATCGGACAATTGGTCCGATCACATGCACAAAAAAATGTCACGCTATGCATTTTGCTTAATGTCGCCGGAATGGCTATACATACTTGTCTCGTGACTTATATATTTCTTGTGACGTATATATGTCCGACCAAATTTAGTGATCTTGGGTTTTGTCCGACTAAATTCAAGTTATGTCCGACCAAAATTAAAAGTGATCGGACAAATGTCCTGTCAAGTCAAATAGTTATTTGCAACCCTGCATTCTATAGTTTAATAGTTTAATAATATGCCCGGGCCGGACATATATTTCAAGCTTGCCCGGTGTGGAAATACACTCAAAGTAACATCACAAATATCATATTCACCTGAGTACACATGCAACACCAACACAGAAAAAATCATATTACTAGATTACATTGGTATCGAAGGAACTAGATTCTGTTCCGAAATATCACTTACTCGAACCGTCCTGACCGCGTAGCTCAGTTGGCAGAGCATTGAGCTAGTATTTCAAAGGTCGTAGGTTCGATTCCCACCGTGGCCGGGCATATTTTTCAAGCTCGCCCGGTGTGGAAATACACTCAGAGTAACATCACAAATATCATATTCACCTGAGTACACAACACCAACACAGAAAAAAGTTTAATAATATTTTAAATACCAACTTTGCAGTTGAACTGAATTTACATTGTTCACATTAAGAGTCAAAGTTAAATACTAGATTCAAAGTTACGAAATAACTAGCAGCTAATGAAGTCCCAAATAATATTATTTTTAGTTAAAAAGTATAAGAAACATTTATCTAATCTTATGTATTTGGAAGATAGGATATTTTCCTATCGAGGATGCCTTCCAAAGAAGCATTCATTTATAGCTTTATTATAGTGTTAGTTAATGGTTCTAAATAGTATTAGTAAACACTTCTTGAAACAAGTAAGAATTAACATTCATTTAGCACAACATTCGAATAGATGCTACAAGCTCGTCAGCTAGTTACATGGTAAAAGAATAATACGTTATGAAAACAACTGTCTTCCATTTTTGCCTTCGGTTCATTCAGCCAGCTGACTGAAGTAAGTACTCCAGTATATTCATGGATATATACAGGGTGTATAAAAAAAACTGAACAGATTTGAAATTGCTCTCAATTTCGCAAAACAGCTATTAGTATCCAGTTTATATATATATATATATATATATATATATATATATATATATATATATATATATATATATATATATATATATATATATATATATATATATATATATATATATATATATATATATATATATATATATATATATATATATATATATACGAGTAGGTTTGTGTATGCGAAACGCAAAGAGTGCTCAATATCATAAAGATAGAGCAAATGTAGAATTTCGCTTACCTCAAAATTCCGCAACAGTCTGTTTCATCAGTAAAGAATCATCAGGCGGTATGACAAGTTTCGAAAATAGGACTGCTTATATGTGTTTTGGCCGGAATGTGGGGGTGTGTGGGTGGAACAAAGCATGCATTCATCTATTGTTTGCGTTGTTTACGCGGAAATGCCTAATCGAGTTGTGGGAGTGTATTGTTTGCGTTGTTTACGCGAAATTTCTTCCTATGTCTGCACGTTGATATAATTTCCATTCTTTTATTGAGTAAACAGTTTTGGTTTTCTTTCAAAATACAAAATTTTCCCTCTAAACATAAATTGCATCGTTTTGATCCTCCCGTATACGAAATAGCGCGTTTCAAAATTTGCCAATTGATATTAAAATCTTTCTTGCTATCTTTCAATGTCCAAATATATTTCGAAAGTTCAGTTTTGTTTGAGTGCTCTTTGTGCTCAAAAGTATAGTTATGGTTAGCCAAACGCTCTTTAAATGTAGTTGATGTCATGCCAATATAATTCATGATCGTGTTAGGGTTGCTTGTTGTGACTGTTGCTTTGTATACTATGTCCTTAGTCATGCATTGTTTCTGAAGTGGGCATATTGTGTTTTTCGAACAACTGCAATTGACAGTGCCCTTGCCCTGTGCCTTGTTCTTCCTAGCTATATGTGCATTGTGCTTAGTGATTATAGACTTAACATTGCTCATGCAGCTATAGCTTACTTTTACCGTATTTCTGTTAAAGATCTTATGCAGCTTGTGGTGCGAAGGAAAGTGCTTGTCGATAAGGTTAAGAAAATTACGCCCTATGTTAGTGCTGACATTCATGCTAAATGGTGGGTTGAACCAAATGATATTACGTTGCCTATTTCTGCGTGCTTGCTGTGGTGCGTGTTGAGTGTAGTTAAGATCATGATTAAAGTTGCTATGGTCAAGTGCGTTTTGGTATGCAGGTGCAGATTCCATAAATGTTTGCTCATCTGATGAAAGCATTGCGATGCGCTTGTTAACTGATGTAGGAAGCTGCCTTATAATGCTAGGTGGATGGTTAGAGTACCTATTTATGTATAGCGGGTCGTCATTGGGCTTCCTATAGGGCCTATATTTTCCGTTGTTAAGATTGAAAGTTACCTTTCAATCTTAACAACGGAAATATAGGCCCGATATTAATTGCTGCACGAAATTTCAGAGAATTTGCTTCAGTTTAAGCCCTTCCACTATTCACGCAAACTCACATTTTTCCTAAAAATTCAGTAATTTGCATGCTTAAATAATGCAAATTGTTGCATACCGTATTTACTCGTTTGAGCGCCGCCCCCGATTGAGCGCCGCCCCCGAATGAGCGCCGCATTTGAGATCAATTTTTTTTAAAGAGCGCCGCCCCCGAATGAGCGCCGCACTAAACAGTGTGAAAACTTTCCACGTCAAAATGGGGACATTTAGTAACAAAAACCTTTTAAAACTTGTCTATTTTATAGTTAAAAGTTCTTGTCATAATTCACAAATAAAATATTTTTTAAAGAGCGCCGCCCCGCGATTGACCGCCGCCCCCGAATGAGCGCCGCATCTGAAGTTCTGAAAATTTAAAGAGCTCGCGGCGCTTAAACGAGTAAATACGGTATCTCAGCAATATGCAAATTAGGCAAAGGCATTAATTAAGCATGCGAAAGGCTGATTTTTTAGGGGGAAATGGATAGTTAAAGGGCTTAAACTAAAGCAAATTGTCTGAAATTTTGTACAGTAATTAAAAACCCAACACATTTTCCATCCATTAACTCAAAATACGATTAAAGCTTTTAAATTTTGTGCGCAAGCCATTTCTAGTTTGTTGGACCCCCTGGTTTACAAAATTTGAGTTCGAGAAATTTTTTTCATTATTCTACCTTATAAATACCCAAAGAAGCTATATACATAAAAAAACTAGATACTAATGGCTGTTTTGCGAAATTGAGAGCAATTTCAAATCTGTTCAGGTTTTTTTTATACACCCTGTAGAGCTCAACTGGTTAGAATTATTGTGAGCTTCTGAGTTTAAGTTTATTAAGTATCTTCATTCCCTCAGTGCGTAAAATCTTGTTTTTCCAGTAAAAGATTAAACAGTTACATGTTGAATTCATTGCGCTTATTGTTTTTGCCCAGTGTGCTGCAATGTGCGCATTATCGAATATCGAGCTATCTCTCGAGGTTATGCTTAGTCCAATATAAACGAACACTGGAATGTTTAGCACCACAAAGCATGCGACTGTAAGCAAGCAACTCGATATATTTTTCAAAGAAAACATCTTTTTCATTTCCGGTGGTATTCTGTTGTTTCTACGACTTTCCCTGGCGATTCTGAACAATTTGTAGTTGATGAACAACATTGGGCCAAAGAATACCAAAGCAAATTAGTACAAAAACTTCGTACGAAATTAGGACGTCGCTTACATAAGATTTCAGCGCCAGAGTTACCAACATGATAATTAGTATTGCAAGGAGAGTTAGAAGTTTTCCCTTCGTCACCGATGTTCGATGAAAGATAGGATAGGATGTCGCCAAATATCGATCAAAATTCATGACCAAAAGAGCGAGTAAAGAAAAACCAATGAAAATATCTGATAACTTTCCGGTAATGTCCATCCAGCTAGGGTATATATAAGACAACTTTCCAGTCAACTCTAGCATTGCGACAAGAGCCATCAATGGATGATTAGTTACAACCACAAGCAAATCGAAACAGGACAAAACCATTATCATAAAATAACATAACTTCTTTCGAAGCTGCACAGATCTCCGGATACTGAGTATGACCACGAAATTTAAACATATTCCTGAGAAAAAGAACAATACGTTCAAAGCAAATATGAATATCAGGTTGATGAAACGGCTGAGCTCCATCATTAAGCGACTTCTTCTGAAGAAATGAACACAACAATAACACCGTCGTGTTTTAGGTATGACATCTTTAATTAGAATTCTGACTTGAAAATTTAGTCTGTGATGAAGTATAATGACATATCTAAGTATAGTACACATTATTATGACGCACTTTTCACAAAGTTTTATTAAATGAATTGCCTCTGCAGAGTTTTGAAAAAATATTTAGAACAAATAACTCTTTTATGAACAGGAGAACATGCAAAATTAAATAAAGATAAATAGTCTGGCCCAAAAAGGAACTATAATTTAAGATTAGCATAATACTTCATTTAGTATGTTTTTGAAATTGACATACTACATGAAGTATCTTAAAACCTGTATCTTAAAACGCGCGATAAAGGATTGTTATAATTTTTAGAATTTACTACGCGCACAAAAAATAAAGGTGACATATTTTAAAGTTATACAAAGTATATCTTCTGCTCATTGTTGTTCAACACCTGTTTCGGCAGTTGTTAGTTTGCATTTTTGGAAAACAACTTGAGAAAAGGGTAAGAAGTAATATAAATGAAAGTTTGTCAATCAATTTCAAGATATATTTTAATTATACACTACGAAGGACAAGACGACAAGTGGCCCAAGCGCTATAAGCACGTTTCATCTTACCGTCTAAATTTATTCATGCTAGATAACTCTGTACTATCTAACTGGTTAGAATTAGAGTGAGCCTCTGAGTTTAAGTATCTTCGTTCCCTCGGTGCGTAAAATCTTGTTTTTCCAGTAATGTTGAATTCATTGAGGTTATTGTTGTTGCCCAAAGTACTGCAATGTTTCTATTATCGAATGTCGAGGGACCTTTCGAGGTCATCCTTAGTTCAATAAAAACGAACACTGGAATGTTTTGCACCCCAAAACATGCGACTGCTAGCAAGCAACTCGATATATTTTTCAAAGAGAACGCGCCTTTTTCATTTTCATTGCTATTCTGTTGTTTCTACGACTTTTCCTGGCGATTCTGAACAATTTATAGTTGACGAACAACATTTGGCCAAAGAGAATACTAAAACAACTTAGTAAAAAACTGCGTATACGAAATTAGGACGTACACAGCAGATATCCGCCCCAGAGTTACAAACATAATACTTAATATTGCAAGGAGAGTTAAAAGTTTTCCCTTTGTTACCGATGTTCGATGAAAGATAGGATAAAATGTTGACAAATATCGATCAAAATTCATGACCAAAAGACCGAGTAAAGAAAAACCAATGGAAATACGTGATACGTTTCCGGAAATGACCACCCAGCTAGGGTATACATACATAATGCAACGTTCCAGTCAACCGTAGGATCGCGAGAAGAGCTATTAATGGATTATTAGTTACAACCAGAAGCAAATCGAAACAGTACAAAACCATTATCATATAAAATAACATAATTTCTTTCGAAGCTGCACAGATCTCCGGATACTGAGTTAACTTACGCTCAGCACGTTTCATCTTACTGAATGGGGTGTTAGAGGAAAGAGGGCTGAACCTAGACTTGCCCAAGTCGCTCGCTAGGGACCGCGCGTAGCAAGAAGGGAGCGCTTGAGAAAGACGGAAGCGAGCGACTTGTGTCACTTGCCTGATTTTCAATCTTACTGAAAAATTTGGCGCGAAAATAATTATGACATAGTGGGCGTTCACCATGTCGATTTCACTAGTTCATTGTTTTGGCGTCGTTCGTACAGAATAATAATGAGCATTCACTGACTTCACCCGAGCAAAAATGCACCGGTGAATTTGGCGCGCTTGCGGGTGACAATAGTCCGTCCCTTCCAGGAACCACGAACCGCGGACTTTGGAAAGTCTAGGCTGAACCTTCTCCTCCATGTTGCCGGGGGAGGGGGAATCATAACCTGGTAAGTTCTCAGTTGCAACTGTAGTGTTGAAATGATATGCTAATGATTTCAGCAATCTGTACTTGATCATGATGATTACTTATGTGGCTCAAACATTAAATAGCTTCGGTATATCCGAATCTTTGAGTTCTTTCAAAAAACACTAATTGAAATATTAGAACTTGCCATGTTCATCATATTGCACGTATTCTCTACGCCTTGTCACCCCGCCCCTTAGAGAGCCCACCCCCACCCCCTTGTTAGCCTTTCAGTTCTTTACCACTGCATATAAAACTTGTTATTATAAGTAGACACGGCTTGAAAAATATAACACTCGTGCATGTAATGGAAATCTTTGATGAGTTAACCAGGATTTTGCTGGGTGCAAATTCTGTGAAATATATAGAGTCTTTCTTTATTAATAGTTTTGGATTCATCTATATAGTCTTACGACGTATATTTTGTGTTCGCAAGGTTTCGCAAGCTAATCCTTTCCATTGTCAGATGTATAGTGAAATGAGATAACGCGACTCGTAGCTAATAGTCTCCTTAGAGGCAGACCACCTCTATATATAACATAGTCTGAGTAATTCCAACAGGATTTCGAGCCTAAATCCTGGTAAAAACTCACGGTCAAAGGAGAAAATCAACGACAATTCTACTTTTCGCATGTACGTGCTGTCTGGGGAATTGACCCATCCTCATTCTATAGTTTAATAGTTTAATAATATTCTATCCAACTTTGCAACCGAACTGAAGTTAAATACTAGATTCAAGGTTACAAAATAACTAAAAGAGGTGAATATGCTAAATATGTTAATATAGAATTCCCGGTATGACGTTTACTCGCGGCTTTCTTTCGAAGCTGTTCAATAACCGGGAAAATTAATCCCAATTAAATAATATTATTTTTAGTTATACAAGTTAGAAACATTTATCTATAATTGCTATATGAGTTTGGAAGATGGGATAGTCCAAGATGCTTTCCAAAGAAACATTAATTTAGCTCTATTATATTGTATTGTTAATGTTTCTAAATAGTATTTTAGTAAATGCTTCTTTAAACAAGTAAGAGTTAACATTCATTTAGCACAATATTCGAATGGAACAAGACCGTCCGCTATAGCTATGGTAAAAGAATAATACATTATGAAAACACAGTCTGCCATTTTTGGCTTTGGTTCATTCGGGCAGTTGACCGAAGTAAGTACTCCAGTTATATTCATGGATATATAGGGCTCAACTGGTTAGAATTAGAGTGAGCCTCTGAGTTTAAGTTTCCTAAGTATCTTCATTCCCTCGCTGCGTAAAATCTTGTCCTTCCAGTAAAAGATTAAGCAGTTACATGTTGAATTCATTGACGTTATTGTTGTTGCCCAAAGTGCTGCAATGTATGTATTATCGAATGTCAATGCACTTTTCCAGGTTATGCTTAGTCCAATAAAAACGAACACTGGAATATTTAGCACCCCAAAACATGCGACTGCTAGCAAGCAACTCGATATGTTTTTCAAAGAAAAGGTCTTTTTCATTTCCGGTGCTATTCTGTTGTTTCTACGACTTTTCCTGGCGATTCGGAACAATTTGTAGTTGATGAACAACATTGGAGCAAAGAGAATACTAAAACAAATTAGTAAAAAAACTGGGTAGGAAATTAGGACGTATACACGAGATATCAGCGCCAAAGTTACAAACATGATACTTAGTATTGCAAGGAGAGTTAAAAGTTTTCCCTTCGTTACCGATGTTCGATGAAAGATAGGGTACGATGTCGCCAAATATCGATCAAAATTCATGACCAAAAGAGCGAGTAAAGAAAAACCAATGAAAATATTTGATAACTGTACGGAAATTTCCACCCAGCTAGGGTATATATAATGCAACTTTTCAGTCAACCATAGCATCGCGACAAGAGCCATCAATGGATTATTAGTTACAACCAGAAGCAAATCGAAACAGGACAAAACCATTATCATAAAATAACATAATTTCTTTCGAAGCTGCGCAGATCTCCGGATACTGAGTATGACCACGGAATTTAAACATATGCCTGAGAAAAAGAACAACACGTTCAAGGCAAATATGATTATCAGGTTGATGAAATGGCTGAGCTCCATCATTAAGCGACTACTTCTGAAGAAATGAACACAAAAATAACATCGTCGTGTTTTAGGTATGACATCTTTTAATTAGATTCCTGACTTGAAATGTAGTCTTTGATGAAGTATAATGACATATCTAAGTATAGTATACATTATCATGACGCACTTTTCATAAAGGTTCATTAAATAAATTGCCTCTGCAGAGTCTTGAACAAATATAGAAGAAATGACTCATTCATGAACGGGCGAACATGCAAACGTAAGTAAAGATAAATAGTCTTGCCCATAAAGAAACTATAATATAGAATTAGCATAATACTTCATGTCGTATATGTTACTGAAATTGAGAATGCCGATGCCTGTATCTTAAAACGCGCAATGAAGGATTGTTATAATTTTTAGAATTTTACGCCCACAGTATATAAAGATGACATATTCTAAAGTTATACAAAGTATACATATCTATAGTGCTCATTGTTGTTCGACACCTGTTTCGGCAGTTATTAGTTTGCAGTTTTGGAAAACAACTTGAGAAAAGGGTGAGACATGTAAATGAATGTTTGTCAATAAATTTGAAAATATATATTTTAATTATACACTACAAAGGCCAAGTGTCCCAAGCGCTATAAGCACGTTTCATCTCACCGCAGAATCCAAACATTATACAAGATCGTGTTTTAGGCTAAACTCTAAATTTATTCGTGCTGTAGGTAACTCTGTACTATCAGTTCTGAACTATTTCATATAAAGACCTAGAAGGACCATTCATTAGGGGTGCCAAAATTATACACTACGAAGGACAGGTGGCCGAAGCACTCAGAACGTTTCATCTTACCATGCACTGAATGAAGTGTAAAGGGTAAGACGGCTGAGCCTTCTCTTGTTGGGGGAATCATAACCTGGAAAGTTCTCAGTTGTAACTGTAGTATTGAACTGATATGCTAATGATTTTAGTAATTTTTACTTGATCATGATGATTACTTATGTGGCTCAAACATTAAATAGCTTCGGTATATCCGGACCTTTGAGTTCTTTCTTCAAAAAACACAAATCGAAATATTAGAACTTTCCACGTTCATCATATTGCACGTATTCTCTACGCCTTGTAATCCAGCCCC